AACGTTTTCTAGGTTTTTGTCAATTTTTCTTCCAGATACAGCGGAAAATTTGAAAAAACAGTGAAAACGAGGTAAAAAATTTTGAAAGTTTAAATTCGCGCGCTTTTACTCACCGGGCGGCCTAGAAAAAACCTCATCCCTAAGGGCTTTCAGCGTATTTTTCGATGCGTTTTTCTCGATGAAAGAATTTTTTTTGAATTTTTTCTTTATTTTTATGTCAATCTACATGCATTTCTACACATTTTGATGCAATAAAAAATTTCACCGTACACCACCTTTAAATTCAAAATTTCCAAGAATTCAGATTTTACGAAATCAATTTTTTTTTTCATTTTGCTAACTCACTTATCATAATCCCGTTTTCCTTTGAAAAGCTTTCGCTGCTTTATGTGTTCAGATGTGAAGACAAGTCCATCCGGAGAACGAAAGTACGTAATCTTTCTGTTATCGTTCAACTCCACAACACATTTCTTATCTTCCAGTCTGAAGGTTTTCCAATTTATTGGTTCATTTTGAGGAGCAAATAACTCACTCTTTGACGAATACAGCACTCACTCGCCTGCTGAAAATGAAGACGAGTCTGACCTTTTCCATCAACGAATACCCTTTGAGATCTTCGATTTTGTCCAATGTTCTGGTTATTCTAAATATAGAAGATTTTTTAAACTCTGTAAGTTATCGGAAAATTTTAACTTACATCGAACTGAAAGCCAGCGGACTTTTATCATAATTGATTGTCTTTTTAGCTAGTTCACACCATTTTACTAAGTTTTCTGGCTGTGAATAGGCTCCGATTCTATTCGAAATGAATTTGATGACTTTTTTACACAGTTCAGAGTTTGAGGTCATTTTCTGCCTGAAATCAATAATACAAAAGTTAAAAAACAGCTGTAAGAGATGAACCAAAACAACGACGAAGAAACGAAAATCGAACGTTGTTCTTAATTCGAATTTCCCTCGGTCTCTTCTCTTTCGCCCGTGCAGATAGGGCGCGCTTGCATCACAAACTCGCGCATTTGGTGACCCCGCAAATTCCGGGGCAAGAAAAAAATGGGGAAAAAGAGAAAACCGGGGAAAAAAGAAAAGTGGGCGGAGTCGGGGGCGCAGCCTAAAATGCAACCCTGGCACGGTTTTTCTGCACATTTGGACACGGTCATGAGGGGTCGGAGGCTAAATTGCAACCCTGGCACGGTTTTTCTCGACTCCGCCCACTTTCCCCGGTTTTTTCCCCGATTTTTCCTCGGTTTTTTCTTTCCCCGGAATTTGCGGGGTCTCCGCGCGTTTTCAAACGAATTTTTGAGGACGTCAAACTTATGGAAAACAGTGGAAATTGTTCAGAGAAAAATCGGAAATAGACAGAGAAAATTCTGAATTGTTTTTGGGAACAAAAAGATTGAAAAAAACGAAAAAAACCTGCAAAAAATTTTTCCTCGGACTACTGTAGTTCTCAATCTGTGCATTGTGGCGTCGCGGTGTTTCGCGGCCAACTCACCGATTTTTTCAACGAATTTCGGACATTTTTGCCTATTTCCAAGTCCAAAAAGATGCGTGGAAGCCGTAATTTGCTGGTGAAAACCTAAAAATATGATTTGAAATATAAAATTCTCAATTTCAGACGCAGAGAATGGCCTCTTCGCGAGCTTCCGGCTCATCTGGAGGTCTCAAATTCGTCGGACTCACTGTTGGAGCAGTGGCCGCTGGAGCGACAAGCGTAGCTGTTTACGCATCGTATGATAATGATTTTAGAAAAACTGTAAGGAAATTCAGATTTTGAAAACCAAAAAATCTATTTTCAGCTGGAAAATTCGATTCCTGGCTCTCGAAACATATTGAACTACACAATTGGAGTCGAAGAACCACCAGCACCACGTCTCAAGGATCTGCGTCCGTTGCAATTCTCAGCAGACCCAAAAATCGCTCCGAAACCGTTTGAACCGAAGCCAGTAGCCGAAAAGATAGAAAAAGTGCTCGTTCAAGCTGAAAAGGCCCCTGAGAAGGCGAAAAATCCATACACCGGACCGAAGGAACCTGTAAATCCCCAAAAGAAAAACGAAAATCTCACAGAATCGCTCAAAAAGCACCTAGTAGACGCGGAGAAAGCCACCAAGGCGGCCACTGGCGCCAAACTAGAGACAATTCGAGCCATTGAGCATCATATTCAAACGATTCGTGAGGCGATTGAAGGAGGAAAAGATGGAGATTGGGATGCGGTGACAATCGCTCATTTGAAAGCGAAACGGATGGCTGAGGCGGATGGAGAATGGGAGAAGAAGGCTAGAAATGCTGTGGCCGAGCTGGTTACAGAGGCGAATTTGGGAGCACAAGGAGAGATTACTCAGCTGAATCCATTGGTTCCAGTGTCCAAAGCAACTGCTTTAAAGCTCTCGAACGAGTTGGATGAGATGATTTCCAATGTGAAACACGTGGATTCGGAGAGAATCTTTGTGCACGACTACAGTGATCGAGTGGCGGAGAGCCGAAAGAAATTCCAGTTGGAGCTGAAAGCAGTGCATCCGAATTTGAATTATGAGGAGGGAATGAAGCTGAAGAAGACGGATTTGCAGACGATTCTGGCTCATGCGCACTTGAGAATCGATCAGCTCAGTCAGAAATTGATTTGTAACAAGGTAGATTCTATAATTCAGAATTTGGCTGAAAATTTTCGAAAAAAAAAATCAAAATTTTCCGCTTTTTTGACGATTTTGAGATGGCTTAGTTTCTCATTATTCGAGTTTCTAGGCTAGTATATGACAAATATAAGGTCTAAAATAGGCTGGAACGGTGGCCTAGAACACAAAAAAAAGGAAAACTAATAAAAAATACGACAAAGTCAAATTTTCCGCCTTTTTGCCGCCTCCCACTATTTTTTTTCGAAATTTCTGTTGGATTATTATTGTTGTCCGAAAAAAATTGGAGTTAGAGAGTATTTTTTGCAGTCTGATTACGGTAGGCACCTCGAAGCGGCAAGCCTAAATAGCACATACTCGGTGGAGACGCAGAGAAATTTTTTGTTCAACTGTCTGCGTCTCGACTCCAATTTTTTTCGCAAAACAATAATACTGTACCTGCGACCAATTTCCAGCTCAGCGAAGAAAAACGCGTGCAATCAATCATCTCGAAGAAGAAAGCGGATCTTCTTGAGAAATTGCGCCTTGAAGCGAAAATCAATGTGATTCCGGAGGTTGATAAGAAGAAATTAGATGAGGAGTTGGCTAGAGCAACAGCTGAGATTCAGAAGAAGTATGATGAGAAGCTGAAGGAAGTCGTGAGAACCCAGAAGCAATTATATGACATAGAACATGCGAAAGATGTGGATGAAGCTGTTCAAAAGGAGAGAAATGTTCATTCGACGGCTGTTGGAAAGGCGTTGGCTCAATTGGAAGGAATCGAGATGGCGCTTGCCGGACATCTTCATATGGATATTGAGAATAGGAAGTGAGGAGTTAGATTTAGGATTTTAAAGAGATTATACTGATATTTCAGATCCAAACAAATGTGGCTGGCCACTCAGAATCTCAAGGAAACCGTTGTGTTCGGGAATCGTGCCAGCTGTTGTATGGAGGGAAGACGTGCGCCGTTGGGTGATCAGATGAAGGTAAATAAACATTTTGAGCAACAGAAATTCAGAAAAAAAATGGCCTAGAAATGTCTTGACATGCCACTGGTGTGTTTGTGTTTTCGGTCATTTTGAAGTAGTGACCTAACTTTTGCATGTTAAAATTTCTAGGTCATCACTTCCAAATGCCCTTGAAAACACGCCAGATGAATATCAGATTATTTCTAAGCCATTTGCCATGGTGGCCTAGAAAAACCATGTGGAGAAAGTTAGATCACCATGTTAAAATGGCCTAAAAACCAATCAGGCGTCTAGAAACAGCCTAACGTGCCTCTAGTGTTTTCTTGGGTCGTTTTAGGGTGGTGACCTAACTTTTGCTAGTTGGGTTTTCTAAGCCACCACTTCAAAATGACCTACAAAGCATACCGCGTAAATATCAGCTCTTTTCTAGGTTATTTACCATAGTGACCTAGAAAACCCAACTTGCAAAAGTTCGGCCACCGTGTTAAAATTGCCTAGAAAACGCATCAGTTGAATATAAGGCCATATTGAAACAATTTACCATGCTGGCCTAGAAAAATAATGTTAAGAAAGTTAGACCACTCTCTTCCTCTTAAAAATTCAAAAATCCCAATTTTCAGACTCTCCTCTCGTGCGGTGGAAACACTGACGAATTCGTCAAAACCGTCGACTCGGCGATGGCAAAAACGTCAAAAATCCGAGGAGAATACACCGAAGAGGACCTCAACACCCGTTTCAACAAAGTCTGCCGTATCGGACGTCGTGTTGCCTATGTTCATGATGGATCTGGAGCTCTCGGACACCTTTATTCCTGGCTCAAGGCCTCATTGACATTCCAATTGCCTATTGGAACCAATGACACTGTCACCCCATCTGCTGAGAACAATTTCAGCCTTCTGACACGTGCTGAAGCTCTCTGGAAGGCTGGAAAGAAGGGAGACGCTGTTCGTGTGCTCCAGATGACCGATGGAGCTACGAGAAGAGTCGCAACGGACTTCATTCAAGACGCACGTCGTCATCAGGAAGCACTTCTTCTCTCACGTCTTCTATTGGCTCATGCAGCTCTTACTTCGATTCGTTCTACTTATTGATCTTTTTTGTGTAGTAAATAGTATAGTAATTTTTCTGATGAATTGTCTGTGTGTTTATTGGCTTTTTTAAATCAAGAAATCAAGTTATAATTTAATTTGAGAGCCATTTTTTATGTTCTAGTGCTCAACGGGCGTCTGACTCTTCTGATCGCTTCTAAAAGCACTACTAAACGAAGGGATCATCCAGGAGGCATCAATTGGGGATCCGGAGGCAGCCATTGGGATCACTGGCTGATCTTTGGCACGAATCCAGAGGGTGGCAATCACTTTTCGACCAGAGTAGATTGGGCAACCGCCGTGGTCGGATAGCATTTCCTGGAATTGATTTTTTAAAGTCAAAATTTCAAAAAATTCGGAATTTTTAAATTCAGAATTTCTGAAAATTTGAATTTTTCGAATTCAAAATTTTTTTAAATTTTTAGTTTTTGAAATCAAATATTCTGAAATTTTAGAATTTTTATATTCAACATTTCTGGAAAATTGGATTTTTGAATTCAAAATTTCGCCTTGGATTACTGTACCTGTGACTCATCAGCTTGTGCATTGAACCAGAAGAATGCGTCTCCTTCGTCAATTTTAATAGTTGTTCCAATGCTCGGGAATACTGTACCCCCGCCTTTTTCAGCGGTTTTTATCACAAAAATCAGTGTTCCAATTCGATTTCTCATCATTTGCATCCACCAGTCGTGTTCCTTATCACTTCGATATGATAAATAGTCGTAGTGTACGGCATAGTGGCCTCCGGGGATGTAGGATAGGGCCTGGAAGTGTTTTGATTGCTCATTTTTTAATTTTAGGTAAAAAGTTGGCCTAAATTTGTAGAGCTAGATGGGCGGAGTCTATTTTTATCACTGTGTGTTTTTTGGCTCCGCGACACTTCGAAACCAGTCAGTTCGAAACTGCAAAATTTGCACGCTGCACGGTCTCCCCAGCTCCCAAAATGAACTGCAAGCCTTTTTCTCAGCGGAGCGCGGTTGCGCGCGGCGAAAATTTTTTTTGAAAAATTTTGCACTGAAAAGCCGGTTTTTAGCAAAATTTTCTCATTTTTCGACAATTTTTTCGATTTTTCGTCCATAGAAATTGTTAAACAGGCTAAAACACACATTTTAGGTACAAAAGCAGCTAGTTCCGACAAAAAATGAAAGAGGAGATCGACTTTGAAGCAATTTTCGAAAAATCGCGGAATCTTTTCTCACCGCGAGAGATTTTAATCGAATAATAGCTTGAAACACTCAAAAATAGATTCTCCACAATAATTTGACAAACGAAATTATTAAAACACCGAACAATTTGAGAAATTTTCGGTTTTCGAAAATTGCTTCAAAGTCGATCTCCTCTTTCATTTTTTGTCGGAACTAGCTGCTTTTGAACTTAAAATGCGTGTTTTAGCCTGTTTAACAATTTCTATGGACGAAAAATTGAAAAAATTGTCAAAAAATGAGAAAATTTCGCTAAAAACCGTGCAAAATTTTCAAAAAAAAAATGTTCGCCGCGCGCAACCGCGCTCCGCTGAGAAAAAGGCTTGCAGTTCATTTTAGGAGCTGGGGAGATCGTGCGCTGCAACTTTTTTCTTTAATATAATACTTAAAAATTCCAATTTTCAATTTCATTTTTACGTGACCGTGTTTTTTGGTTTCGAAATGACCGGTCTCGAACTGACTGGTTTCGAAGTGTCGCGGTTTCGAACTGAAGGAACATACCCACGCAAACTTACAGAAAACAACTCAGCAGACTGAAAATTGAGAGCTGGAATTCGTTTTGTGACTTTTTTATGAACTTCCGAAGTGATCTCATTCTCTCCATGATCAATAAAACTTCCATTCGCTCTTCGATGTGTTGTTTTTTTCGAAGTACCGTAATCCGTTGTCTTCTGAATTGTCAAATCTCGTTTTTCATGAATTTCAAGAATTCCGAAGTTTGACGAAGAGTCAGAAGATTACGGTATATTATAAGTGTTGGGGACCAGGAGACGATTTCCAAATCCACGGGAAGAAAGTTGTGGAGATAGGTTAGGCAGATGGAATCTGAAGAAATTATTGAAGTCGGAAAAGAAATTCAGAAAAAAAATTGGGAAAGAGAATTTTCAGAAGGTATATGAAAATTCAGAATCTCAGAAAAACGTGAAAATTTAATACAAGTCTTTTCAGAACTTGGAGATTTCTGACTTCTTGAAGTTTTTGGAGTTCAGGAAGGAACTTTTTAGGTTTCAAAATTTTTCGAAATTTTCGAACTTGATCCCGTTCTCTCATCTATCTGTCATGTAGCTCATATCACTTCTATGATTGGCAGGTTCTGAGAGATAAAAAAAAAGAAACTAAGAAATAGAAAAAGACATAAAAGAATGAGTTTGAAAAAGATATCAGATTTCAAATTTCAGGAGAAGAGAGTCAGAAAAACGAATTTCTTTTTTAATAAATTTTCAGGAATGTCAACATTTGTCATTGAAATTACCGTAAACACTCTTATAGAACGCCACTCGGACCGTTCACTTTGAAAGATATCACTTCTTTTGAAAGATATCAAAAATTTGTCAACTAATAAAATGTTTATCATGATATCAGCAACATTCTATTAGATTATCACTTTTTGATATCTCTCACAGAAAATGAGATACATGGACTCAAATTTGACGGTTCGGGTGGCGTTCTATCAGAGTGTTTACGGTATGTAATTAGCAAGTTAACATACTCAAAATTTTGAATTTAGGATCTCTATCTTGGGAATGTTGAACACTGGTTTCTAACAATTTATTTTGAAGAAAAAGCTCATGAAAGATAGAATGTCTGTAATTTGAGCTCAACTTAAGAATCAGAAAACTAGTGCCTCTGATGTTTGGTGATAAGAATTTTTTTTAGAAAAGGGAGTCTCAATTTCACGAAAATAAACTATTTTCAAAAAAAAAATACTGGCCCAAATAATGGTATTTTTGGAAGTTTTTTTTTGGGTGCCCTTCTATTACAGGTTGTTGTTGTTTGGTTCATACTGCTTTGGTTCATACTTGTAACGGGCCGGGTCGGGCTTTTTCCCGAATTTCGGAGGCCCGGCCCAACACATAAGGGGGGACCCTTATGTGATGTTTTTCGATCAAAAATTTTTTCGAGTTTTGTTGATATTTTTTGATCAAACAGACAATCAATCCAAAAACACAAAAAATAATGGAGAAAATTGTATAGAGAGCTCAAAATTTGGCTCAAAATGAAAAAATTTTTGCTACCGGGCCTTCCGGGCCGGGCCCGGGCCTTGAAAATTTCCTCAGGACCGGCCCGGAATTTTACAAGTATGGTTTGGTTTATATTTTCTCAATTATCGTTGTTTCGAATATTTACCCATAATGGTCTATCTTTCTGAAATTTCTAGACCAGCATAGCGAACGGCCTAAAAAACCAAATCACTTCTAGACCATCAAATATGCTGGCCAAGAAAATTCATGTTCAGAAAGTTAGACCACCATGGTAAATGGCTTAGAAAACATCAATTTTTGTTCCCCATGAAATTTCTCCCATCGCCGAACCAAAACTTTTTTCTTTTTTCCCGACTCTCCCGAAATTTTCTGGGATCCCGAATCTTCCGCGTTTTTTTATCTGTTTCGTTTTTTTTTCGCTGCTGTATAGATTCCTTTTTCTTTCTTTTCTTCGTTTTCACTCTTCTCCCAAACTTTTTTTGTCCTCAAGCCATTATTTTTTCTCATTTATCGCGGGGGATCCGAACCGCCCAAGAATCTCTTGCTAGGATCCCAAGCGATCTGATCCCAAAAAACCCGCAAAAAAAAACCAAAGAACCGTTGTCAATCAATCAGTAAGTGAGGTCTATTCCAATTTTACACAAAAATTAGCAAGGAGAGGTATCTTCTCTTTTTTTTTTGATTGAGATAGATAGAACGGATAAAAGGTCACTGGGAGATCCCCCACGAGAAGTTTAACGGGAGGCTCTGGGAGGTTCTAGAAAGTTCTAAAGATCCTAGAAGCTTTTCAGATGTTTGCAAAGAGCGTTTTAGAACTTCAGGGACTTTCCGAAAGTTTTTTCATATTTTCGAAATTCCTGGAAAACATAAAAAGGTTCCAGGAGACTTTTAGAAGCTGTCAAACTTCTGAATCTTCTAGAGAGATTTGGAAGCTTTTAGAATATTTCAGAATTCTGGAATTCCGAATTGTGTAAACTTCTAGGTTCTCAAGAATTTTGGATTTTCTGGATTTTCTTAAAATGTATCACAAATTGTTCACAATTCACAATTCCAAATTCACAATTGAAAATACTAGATTTTCGTGATTTCAGAAAATTCCAGAAAATGTTAACTTTTTAAAGTTCTGAAATTCTAGAAGATTCGAACCCTTGGGATCTACAAAAAATTCCAGAAAATCAGGAAAATGAAATTCCAGAAATTCATAATTTCAGAAGTTTTTGACTATTCTGAAATTCTGAAAATTTAGATTTAATGACATTTTCGAGAACTTAGGAATTCCTGATCATCTGAAATCTTCAGGAAATTTTGAAATTCTTCGTTTCCCGGAACTCTGAATTGAACTATCCTTGAATTTCCAAAATTCCAAAATTCCCAAAATTTTTAAAATCCGGAATTCCCACATTTTACGAAATTCCAAATTTTATTTTCGTTAATTTCCCAAATTTCCAAGTATTCCAAATTCTAAAATACCGAATTTCTTAGTTTCTGAATTTCGTGAAATTAAAAAGTTCCGAAATCCCAAAGTTTCCAAATTTCCTGAATATCTGAATTCCAGAATTTCGAATTTTCAGATCTCAAAAATTTTAGAACTTTCAAAATTACCAGAACGTCCAAAAGTCCGAAATCTCGAAATTCTAAAATTTTCAGCATTCAGAAATTCAGAATTTCCTAGAATTTCAGAGTTTGAGAACTTCAGAATTTCGGAGTTTCAGAATTTCCCATTTTCCTAGAACCACATTATTTCCAATACCCAAACTCCAAAATTAAGATTCCATATTTCAAAATTTCCCCAAAAAATTTATTTGAGAATTTCTACTTCCGGGAGTTCCCTGGATTTTCTATTCTTCCTAGATTTCTGATATCTCTGGAAGTTTCTAGGCGCCTTAGAGATTCTTTTCGTTTCACAAAAGAAAACGAAAAGTAATAAGAGAGAAAGTCTTCATCCCACTCACATCTGCGTGCGGCAAAAAGTGATGATGGGTTTTGAATTACCGCCCATCCTCTCCTTTGCTCCTAGGAGAGCATTTTCGTTAACATTCATATGCCATTCCATCCCTCCCCGATTCCCACCCGCCTCCGCCGAGCCATTCTTTTTTAAAACCGACATTTCGCTTATTACACTGTTCCAAAATGAGAGAGCATGTGGAATAGAGAGAGTTTAGAGAAATATAGTGCATTGGGAAAGAAAAAGAGAGAGGAGATGAGCAATAACATGTTTTAAACTTTGGTTTTAGTTTTCAGTTCCACCCGAGAGAGCTTCATTCTGCCATTCAGTCTTAAGCAGCAGGGTTTTCTTCTCTGGCTACAGTAATCCTAATTTTTCAAAATTTAATTTCTGAATTTTCATCAGAACTACAGTAATCCATTCTATTCTCATCTTTCTAGATTTCAAATTTCTACGGCTTTAGTTGTTCTGGTTCTCAGTATTCTGGAATCTCTTGAAAACTACAGTAAGCTCTTTTTTCTAGGTACCGTTTTCTCCAGTGCCTACAGTTCCTTATGTTTAGCGCGGGCCCACCGAAATCAGTCAGTTTTTAGGTTCAATCTGCTCGAGAACCACAGTAATCCGAAAGTAATTTACAGTAATTTACAGTAATTTCAATTGTTCAAATCCTATGGAGAACTACAGTAGTCCTTTCCTACTTTTTCTATTTGCTCATTTTTCAGCTGCCGTAATCCTAAACTTCGAAAATGTGAACTACAGTAATCGGACAGTTTTTCTAAGAGTTACCGTAATCTCAGATTTAGGATTTCCAAGGCTACCGTAATTCCCTCTTCAGTAATCCCAAAGTCCTACCGTAAACTCGAATCGTTTTCTTACTCTGATCCTAATTTTCAATTTTCTCAATTTTCTTGGAAACTACAGTAATCCTTCTGTTCGTTATTCTAGGTACCGTAATCTTGACCTCTACAGTAACCCTAGGGTAGGACCTACTGTAATGGATTTTATTTTCTTTATTTTCATTAGAACTACAGTACTCCTTTCCACGTATCTGGTTCTTCATTATTTCGGCTACAGTAATCCTGAATTCAAGATTCCTACAGTAATACTTTCGAAATTCCGAAAAAAGATGTTAAAAGCCACCGTAATCTCTTTTCCATAAGCTGATAATTGGCTACAGTAATCCTAACTTCTAGTTTTTCTCATGACAGCTACAGTAACCCTTCCCACACTTTCTGCCTACCATAAGCCTAGATAGGATTACTGTAGAATATGAATAGGCTACAGTAATCCTATTTTGAGAATTTACAGTATATTTAGAATTTGAAGTTTTTTTAAGACTACGTGATCAGAATTTCAAAATTTCGCTCAAATTTGAGACAACAGTAATCCTTTCAGTTTTTTTTTGGAAAACTGCATTGGGTCTTTCCAAAAAACTTGAAAAATTGAAAGTACAGTAACCCAGTGAAATACTGTGGATGCTCGGAAACTCTAAGACTACAGTAACCCTAACACTTCAAATTCACAAAAATCCGTAAAAAACACAGTAATCTATGCTAGCTACTGTAATCCTAATTTGCTCAGCTACAGTAACCCAAAAGAAAACAAAATTTCAAAATCTTCTGATTTTTCGTTTTTCGCTCTTTTAACACATTCCAAATGTTCCCCTGTCTCTCTTCTCCCCCTTCTAATCAAGATTTAGTGCTCCCAGTTTTTTACACTTTTCTTTATTTTTTTTTAGCTCCGCCCACTTTTCTCTTCTTCTTGTTTTCTTTTCACAAAGTTTCCCCCATACTTGTAAAATTCCGGGCCGGCCCGAGCCCGGGCCGGGCCTGAGGGAAATTTCAAGGCCCGGGCCCGGCCCGAAAGGCCCGGCAGCAAAAATTTTGTCGTTTTGAACCGAATTTTGAGTTCTCAATACAATTTTCTATATTTTTTTTGTGCTTTTTGTATTGTTTGTTTGTTTGATCAAAAAATATTTTTAAAAAAAATCACATAAGGGTCCCCCCTTATGTGTTTTTTGAAATTTTCAAAACTTGTGGAATGACAGACCCGCCGGGCCAGTCCGAGCCTCCAAAATTCGGGAAAAAGCCCGGCCCGGCCCGGCCTGGCCCGTTACAAGTATGGTTTCCCCTGATTCCAGGTCGTTTTTCCACGAAAAAAACCATGCTGATCGAAGACGAGAACATTCGCTACGGCGGAGCTCAAGCCGATGATGCTGGAGATGTAAACATAATATTCTAGAATTTTTTTTCGAAATTTAAAATTTTTCAGGATGCCGCCCGTAAGGCTCAAGAGCGTGAGCTCAAGAAGGCTGAAGTCCGTAAGAGAATGGAGGAAGCAGCAAAGAAAGGATCAAAGAAGAAGGGCTTCTTGACTCCAGAGAGAAAGAAGAAGTTGAGAGTGAGTACAGTAATCCAAGGATAGTGGTCTAGGGCCAACTTGGCTAGAATTTTGGGTATGAAAAGAAAAAAACCGGAAAACATAGTTTAAAGGGATGGTATATACGTTTAAAGGGACAGACTATAATATTCAAAGGGACAAGTATGGTGCAGACTATACGTGTAAAGGTACATACTAGAAGTTTAAAGGGACATGCCATAAGTTTTAAGAGACAGATTATACGGTTTTAAAGGGACAGACCAGGAAGCTTTAAAGGGACAGACTATAAGGTTAAATAGACATACCATAAATTTAAAGGGACATACTATACTCCAAGAAATTAGAATTTCCTGGATAATTTAATGTTTAATTTTATTGTCGGATTAAAAAAAGTGACACCTGAGAATTTGAAAATCGTCGCATTTTTTGATCTACGAAAAAGCGCGGCGAAAAGGTAATATTTCACAGTTTCGTCTCGTTCGAGTCAGTTTCCTATTTAAGTTCAGTTTTTCGATGAAAAACAGATTCTAGAGATGCTAGCGATCATTTTCATACCAAGAAATCTAAAGTTTGTGAAGAAAATCCCATTAAATTCACATAAATTAATTTGTTATTTACAGTATCCGTTTTCGGATCGAAGTCTCGTAAATCGACACGAGCGTTACTTGCGAAAATTTTCAGGTCCCAGTTTGTTTAATCCGACAATAGATTAAATCAAAAATGAAAAAAATATATATATAATTCCAGAAACTTCTCATGATGAAAGCCGCCGAGGACCTTAAACAACAACAAATGCTCAAAGAGCAAGAGCGTCAAAAAACCCTTCAACAACGTACAATTCCACTTCCGGATGTGGATTCGATCAACGATCAAGGTCAACTTCTCAAGATCTACGAGGATATGTTCGCAAGAGTTTGTGCTCTTGAGGAGGAGAAATTCGATATCAACTTCTCCGTTTCTCAAACTGAGGCAGAAATCAATCAATTGACTATTCAAGTCAATGATTTGAGAGGAAAGTTTGTGAAGCCAACGTTGAAGAAGGTCTCCAAGTACGACAACAAATTCAAGTCTTCTGGAGAAGGAAAGGTGAATAATTTGGGAAAATTTGAGTAGAACATCGCACATCTTTTTGTAAACAGTCCAAAAAGAGTTCATTTGGGAATGGAACACTTCAGAAAAAAGTTCATTCTTTTGGAGTTCAGTTGTCAGTTGGTCTAATCAATCAAATGGTCTCCCTAGAATGTTTCCACTTTCCTCCAGACAGCTGTTATCACCTCTTACCTCTTTTTTCAATTTGATGGCAGGTGGTAGCTAAAAGCGCGCCAGGTGTCTGGAATGTTCTAGAAGTTCCCTGAAACATAACTCGGCTCAAAATTGGACTAATTACTCCAGAAATGTCTTAATGGTTAGGTTCTCAGAAGAACTACAGTAATCCTTTTCTAGTTTCTCATTCTTTTAGATAGATCTTAAACTAAACTACAAAAACGTGTACTACAGTAACCTAAAAGTTTTCTAGGAGTTACCGTAATCCCGCTTCACTAAATGTTGATTTTAGGTTTCAGTGACCCAACATTTTCAGTAACATTCAAATTCCCCAGTTATTTTTCCCACCCTTTTCTACCTTCTTTTCTTCAACAAGACTTTTCATATGCTACAGTAACCCTGGGTGTAGGATCATTGTGATTATATTTTTTAAATTTTTTTTCGAAAATCCTTGAAAATTTTGGAAGAACAGTAATCCAGTGGAATACTGTAATCCTAAATTGCTTAGCTACAGTAAACCAAATATAGAAACTTCACATGTAATATTCAGAAGGGTTACTGTAGGTCTCATAAAAAAACGGAAAAATTGAATCCACCGGTTACTGTAGACATAGGATTATTGTGCAAAAAAGAGATTACCGTACCTAAAATAATGAAACTTGGATTACTATAGATTTTATGAAAATGTTAGAAACCTTTGGGTTACTGTAGCTAGATTACTAATTACGGATTTTACTTTTTGAATTCAACAGAAAATCCAAGTTATGTTTCAGTGAATCTCCCAGACACCTAGAGAACCATTAAGGGATTACGGTAGCCCTAAAAATCAACTTGCTGGAAAAACTACTCCAATTGTGAGCCTTTATGTCCCTCCAACAATCCAGACACCTAGAGAACAATTAGCCCCACCCGATGTGCTTTTAGATAACCTCCCATCAATTTGAAAAAAAAGAGAGATAAGAGATGATAACAGCTGTCTGAAGAAATGTGGAAACATTTGGGGTAGACCACTTGATTGATTGTACCCACTGACAAGGGAACTCCTAGATCAAAAAAGAAGAACAATTTTCGAAAATTATTATGAAAGTACAAAGCAATTTTTTGAAATTTTTGGAATTTGGGTTATATTTTGAAACAAGAAACATGTTCGAAAAGTATTAAAAAAGTACAAAAAAATGCAATATTTTCAGGAGAAATCAAACTTCCGCGCCAACCTTAAAGTGGTCAAGAAGGAGACAGATTTGGATGAGATTATGGCCAAGAAGAAGGGACAAACAGGCGATGGTAAACCAGAGTGGTCGAAGAAGGAAAAGAAGGAAGAGGAGGCAGCACCGGCTGAGGATTCTGCTGCTGCTCCACCGGCCGAAGAAGCTGCTCCAGCTGAAGAAGCACCAGCTGAGGAGCCGGAAGCCGCCGAGGAAGAGGAAGAGGAGGAAGAGGAGGAGGAATAGACTCTTGATTTTTATAATTAATCTGCTTCTTTTTTATAATTGAAATTCTTTCTGATGATTCTGAATCTAATAAAGGCTTCTATGGTATCCAAACAGAAGAAAAAAAAAAGAATTGTTACTAGGCGGACTCGAACCCGCGACCGACACAGGTAGAGGGGGACCGCCGAAAAACGGGCCGTCTGGCGGGCGCGGACTGCCGAAAAGCGAACAGTCGAATCGCGCGCCGCCGACGGTCCGTCTGCAACGATTTGCGCCTCGAAGACGGGCCGTCAAAAATGATAGCGCTTTCTTGACAGTTCATCATTAAACAGGTAATAAACAATAGAAATTCTTTATTAAACTAATAGTTTCTGTGGATTGTGTATTGTTTTTGAAAAAATAACTCCAATTATTTTAAAATTGAATTTTTATGATTAGAATGAGAGAAAACACATAAGAAATTACAAATTCTATAGGGAACAGAACTTCGATTTTCTATTTGTGTTTTCGCAAAATTCCAACTTTATAAAAATTCAAATTTTAAAATGCGAAGATTTTTTTCTCGTTCCTTTCGTTCTTTTATCATGTTTTAAGAGAAACATATTTTTTCAACCAAATTTTCCATTCTGCAGAAATTTGGCCCGCCAACCACCGGTCATTGACCAGTCAGCGCCTCTTCGACTGTCATTCAGCAGTCGTTCAACACCTATTTTTTGAGGTGGTCCTATTTTAGGAAAATAAGATTCTATCATTTCCTATAATCTAGTGGGGGTATGAGAAATTGTTTTCTGAATGATTTCCAATCAAAACCTTCAAGTCTGTTTTACAACGAGTTCCGACTGTCCGTCGACGGACCGTCGACGGCCCGTCAGTTTTCATTCGGCTGCCAACTAGCAGTCATTCGCTAGTTTGCGCCTCTTCAGCTGTCATTTAGCAGTTTTTCAGCAGTCCCCCTATACCTGTGCGATTGAATTTGGTCCTACTGCGCTACCAGCTTCGCCAAGAGGACACACACAGGTGGAAGTCCTCAAGGCGTATAGAAAGGGGAGCCTCGTAGCGAGCGGAAAAGAAGCCCACAGAAATATTTTTGAAAATGCGAATTAAAAAAAAGTCTTCCCCGACCCACCATTCTTCTGCCATAGCGTTTCCTTTGTTGCATCATCACACAGTTCCAATTGCTCTGTACTCCACCATTTTTCACCCAAAAATGTTGTATAATTCTCGGAAAAATCGTCCAAAGCGAACATTAGAATATGTTGGCCACGATTTAGGACCCATGCGGTTAGACAGACGCCGAGAAATGAAAGAAATTGACGAAATGAGATCATTGTGTTCTGGAAAATGTGCACTTTTGAAGAAATTTCAAATTTTCATTGAATTTTAAGATGTATGAAATTTCAGAATTTTAAAAATCATAATATATTTTGGAAATCTGAATTTTGGAAATACTGAAAATCAGAAACCCAGAAAATTGAACCCTTTGAATTTTGAAATCTTAGAATTTCGAAGTTTCAATTGTCCTAAAAAATCTTGGAATTTCGAAAGTTAAGAAATATCGAAAGTTCTGGAAAAATAATTTTTTTGAATTTTAAGATTTTTGGATTTCGAAACTTTTTCGAATGTTGAATTTTGAAAATTGAAAATCTAAAAGATAAATATAATCTGAAAAAATAGTACACACAAATATAATCTGAAAATTCGAAAGTCTGATAATCAGAAATCCAGAAAAATTTACAAAATTTCCGAATTTCCGAATTTCAGAATCTCTAATTTTTGGAATTTGAGAATTTCAAAGTTTCAGAATCTTCAAATTTCGGAACTTCACTATTTCAAAATGTTAGGATTTCCAGATCTTAAAATTTCAGATAAAAAATTGAAAAAAAAAATCTGGAAAAAAAGAAAAAAGAGAATCAAAGAAAAAGGAAAAACATAACAAAGAGGAAAAATTGTTCATCAAACAAAAAAAAAATAAAAATATATTATTTCAATTTAATTGATTTCTTCTTATTTTTTTTCTTTCTGCCAACTGGAAAAAAAACACGAAAAACCACGAATTCGTCCAGTAATTGTTCCAGAGACATTAAACCAGGGCAGGTTCAGGACTACAATTTTGGAGCATCCGGTTAAACTTTTTAAAATTTGGAAAAATTGAAAAATAGACGTGAAAAAAATTGCAGAAAAATCTAAATATACGAAAAAAAAACAAAGTTTTAAAAATGAAAAAAAAAACTTTGGTGAAAAAATAGTGATGAAAATGTTTGAAAAGTTCTCGAAGTTTGTCTCGTGTGATCCCTTTTTGAAGTTGAACTTGTGGGGCCAGATGCCGTGTCGCTACCAGCTGAGATGACTTTGAAATGTTTCTTCCAATTAAAAAAATTTAATTTTTAATTTTCAGATTGAAAAAAAAACCCAATCCTTCTCCAATTTTATTAAACCAAACAATCAGTTCAGATCAATCCTGATGTTCCTTCTTCCCTTCCACATCAATGTCTTCCACATCTTTTCGACGAAATATTCCACTCAAAAGATTCTGACATCCATTTCGAATCAATCCAATTATTGAACTTTCCGATTGAATTGCACCTTCATTTTGTGACTCAACAGCAGTTGCAGGAGATGATAGAGACGATTCAAGACGTTCAGAATAATAAAAAGGCATCGATTTTTTGAAAATTCTATCAGAAACCATATCCTGATAATGATCGAATCGGCGAAGTGTCGAATAACCGGCGAGAGCCTGAAAAGTTTGAACAGTTTTACTTTGAGCGTTAATATCTCGGTTGCTATCAGAGATATCAAAAACTTGTCAACTGATAAAATGTTGGTGATATTATGTTTAACATTTTATCAGTTTACAAACTCTTGATATCTTTTGAAGGAAGCTAGATTATTCTGTTCAAAAATTTTGATAGCCTTTTGATAATTTTTTAGTTTAAAAATTTTTCTTTTTCCAATTTTTTGCATTTTTGACAATTTTTTCGTTTTTTTTTTGCGAAAAATAATTTTTGACCAAAAAAGCTTTTGGTAACAAATTTTCAACAGCTTAATTTTTTGAACAATAACAAACCCTTCTATCAACTCTCCTCCCATAATTCCTAAAATCATCAGAATGCTCTTCAGAAGAACTCTCCGAAATCACTGAAGACAATGAATCCGTTGTTAACGAAGAGAGGCTAGAAGAAGCAGAAGACGTTAGGATAGAAGAAGATGAAGAAGTTGAAGACGTTGGATGCATTGAATTCTGAAAGCAAACTCGAATTCCAAATCTTCCATTATATTCCTTGTCTCTTCCGATTCTCGCATTTTCAAACACTTCCCACGTCGGATTTTTTTCGGATAGAATTTTTCGCATAAATGACAGAATTGCACTTCTACTGTAGGTTTGAGTTGATGGATTCTGCTCACGAGCCAAATCGACAAGAGCTCCAACAACTCGATAACCACACGAAAAGTTGTCGGCCTAAAAACTTGAATTCTTTAAAGCCCAATTTATCTCGGTTCCAGTAAAAGGTATCAAAATATTCCATTGAAAAAATATTGGTGATAGTATGATAAAAATTTATCAGTTGACAGATTTTTGATATCTCTTATAGGAACCGAGGTAACCAGATTCAAAATTAGGAAATTGAAAAATTTGAAAAAAATCCAACCTGTCGCTCATATTCTTTATCAATGTCCAATGCGATATGAGAGGTGAATAAGTGTCCGAACAAATGACTGATATGTGATTGAACTTCTTCGTGAATCTGAGCAATCAAAAAATGAATCTACAGTAATCCCCGTGTAAAGTAACTAACCCATGGACTCCCTTCCCTGTCAAACATCTGCAAACTATCGAAGAATTCGACAGTTTGCCGTTCGGGATTATAGCTGAAAATTGAAAATTTTCAATACTTCAAAAAGCACCAAAACTGGAAAGAATTTAAATTCAATATTTCAGTTTCTTAGAATTTTCAAAAAAAACTTTTAAAAAACGAACTGAACAAGAATATAATGAGCTCGTCTCCGATCATAAAGCACCTGGATTGCCGAATTCTCTCCAGTGACGTGTTTACTGATTTCAGTCTCATCAGTCTGAAAATACGCTCTACCGGAATTTGAAACGTCTAGAAGTGTATCCTTACAATCATGAGGAATTGAATGGCAAAAAGTGCCTCCAGCTTTCGAGGACAAACTGCTTGAAGTTTGTCACAAAACGAGTTGATCAGGTCATCTTGCAGTTGTTCACCGAATCTCACCTGGAATTTTTCTTGAGGAATTGAAGAAATGTAATTTGAAAAAAAGAATTTTTGAAATTTTGAATTTTAGATTTTTTGAATGTTTTGAATTTTTCAATTTTCAATTTTTTTTGGATTTTTGAGAAATTTTTTGGAACGATTAGATTTTTTCAAAAATTTGAAATTACACAGTTTTTTAAATTAAAATTTTTTTAGAAATCAGTTTTCTCAATAAATTCGCAATTAACCTCATTCTCCAAAAAACCACGCGATTCTCCTTTTTCATCTCCTTTCTTCTTTTTTCTTATCCATAGGACTTTTTTTTCTCCTTCTTTGTCTTTGTCTTCTTCTTCTTTTCTATGAATGTCACCATCAACTTCATTTTTTTCTGATGAGGATTCTTTATATTCAGAAAGTCCCATAATATTTTTCGAGACACAGAACATTTACAAAAACTGACTAATTTTCAGAACTTTTATGATTTTTTAAAATTTACGTGGATTCAATAAGAGGTGGACTTTGAAAACACAATGGCAGAGTTGGTAGGTCGCGTGAGCCCAAAATCTTTATTAAGTTTTTGATCTATAATACAATTGTTCCAAAACCTTTAATCTGCAATTTTCACAGGTCCTTCAAGAAATAATACGGTCATACTTGCGACAGGACGGGCCGGGCCGGACAATTGGTGCCTATTCGAACTTAGGCAAATTAGGAGAAGATTCTGAAAAAGAAAAATAGAAATTTTGAATTGAAAAAGAACTTACTGTTTTCAGATAAAATACATCTTCAGAGGAAAGTGTCTTCACTAGGATATTCAAATACACAAAATTCAAAATATTCATTTCTGGGATTGGCGTTGTAATAGTCAAATGGTTGGAAATCAAACGTTCCGCATTCTTCCACTGAACTATTTTTGATAATTGATCAATTTGAAACGGCCATTCAATAACATTGTAATAAAAATTCTTAATTGCATCGTGTTGTTCTGACGGATACAATAATTCAATCGTTTTCAGGGAATGTGGGTCAATAGCCGAAAGAATTTCAATAATTTCCATCTGACTGCTAGATCCCATTGAGAATTTTTTCGCTTTGAGTGGTGTCTCTCTTCGTTTAAAAGTGTCTCCAATTTTTCTGGATAAATCCGCAGTACCCCATTCATCGAGAAGAATATCGAAGTTTTCGGATAAATGTCTTGTACACTTGTAGAATATAATTAATTCGTTTATGCACTCAATTTTCTTGCTGAGAGTCTTTTCGATATCATTAAGACATATGGATTTGTCGTCTGTTCCAGAAAAGGAGATAATACGTTCTTCTCCATGAAACGGGTTGAGTGAATTGGAAATTAATTACGACAGCAGTCTTATCGATTTTGTGAGTTTTTATTATGAAACTAACTCAAACCGTTTTTTTTTTCAGAAAATCGCAAATTCAACATCCCGATCGATAACTCCCGAAGAAAAAATACCAGTTAACTCTAGTTTAAGGAATATCGTAGCACGAACTGTATTAGAAAATCGTTTACCGATGGTTCCTATTTTGAGAAATTTGCAATGTTTTGACATGTAAGTTTTATTTCTTTCAGAAAAATAATACACGGATTGTTTTTCAGCGAGAGAGTTTGGAAAGTGAATCGTGGGATCCGAGAATGTGTTGATCTCATAAAACCAAATCCCCACATTGAAACGTATTCCATTAATTACAACTTTGGTTTTGGTTATGGTGCACTTCGCATCTTTGTGGGGTTAGAAAATGCGATGTTCCATTTGAGAGAATCGCCGCAACTCCTTTCGCCACATCATTCTTTTCAGCCACAAAAAGTGCTCTTTTCATATTTACTGAGAAATTAGATTCATTTTTAATGATACTATTCTGTGAGAGAACAGATAAAACGGTGTTAGTGAAACCTGAAAGCGATAACCATCGTAGATGAGTGATCAAATATGATTTATTCACACGATAGCGGTAAATAGGGTGAAAAGGCACTGGAATTTAGGACACGATAGAAAATGAATGACTCAAAATTATAACAAAACACAGAAGATTATAAAATGACAAGAGAACATTCCATTTTAGGTTTTTATGGGGCATTCCATTTTAGGTTTTGTTCCATCGTCTGGATTCGACAAAGCTCCTATTACTTTTCCAGATGGGATGTATGGGATTGGAGCTGTTTCATCTTCGAAGTCTGATTCGACTTCAACTTCGTTATCATTGTTATCAGCATCCTCCTCATCAACTTGATTTTTTTCAACAGTCGGACCAACTTGAGAAACTAAGACAGGAGGTTCGCAATCTTCATCGTCGGATTGATATGCGATCTCCGTTTGCGGTTCAACAGAAACAATTACTTTTGACCCTCGAGGTCCCGCTATAACTTCATCAGCATTTGGTTGAGGTTGGGCATGATTTGAAGGCGTTGAGATCGTTGGTTTTATTAAAGTGGGATTTTTTAACTGCTCAACGCCACTTCTCGCTCGAACGCTTCGAAAAGACAATCCTCAGTATGCCAATAGTATTCTCTCTTATTGCGAAAATATTTCTTGCATTCGTTACACAAAAAATGACGAGTCACCGAAGTCCAGCTTCGGTCTTCATCTGTTTTCGAATGCCGCATATATTTATATCTGAAAATCTGATAAACTCGTTCAAAAGTTCAATATGATATCCAGATAAGAAAAAGGATTGTAAAAGACCAGCGAATAAATGAATTATTTGGAAAAATTGTCTTTTTTCAAATTGATCCATAAGATAAGAATCTGAATAAATAGCGAAAATAAAACCAAATAAAGAAAAAGGGGAGGAAAATCAATAGAGTGAATAGATGCAAGGGGAAGGGGGTAGGCGAGGGTTATACCAGTGAGAGTGAGAGTAGTATAATAACAAAAAAACGAACGCCTAGCTTTGTTATTATAAATCAGACCAATTAATCGGGTTTCTTCCTGAATTCTCCAGCTCCGTGTTGCATTTCGAAAAGCATTTGCAGCCCCGCCAAATACGAGCACTGAATGGAGACGGATGAGCTGTCTGGAAAAAAAAACTTCATAAGTAACATACGAGAAGAATATGTTTACCTTGATAACTACATGCTTCTCAGTGTCAATCTGCTCCTCCTTTTTTTGTGCAAATTTTCCCCACAACAAAAACACAATTGGTTTCTCTGATTTCTCCGATATCATCCGGATGACGGTATCAGTGAAAGTCTGCCATCCAATTTTCGAATGGGAATTCGCTTCATGGGCACGAACCGTAAGTGTTGCATTGAGCATAAAAACGCCTTGCCGAGTCCAACCAAGCAAGTTTCCATGATTAGGCCTCTTGAATCCGTCGATGTCCGACTCGAGCTCTTTGAAAATATTCTTCAAAGATTGTGGAGGTTTCACACCTTTCTGTACACTAAACGAAAGACCGTGTGCTTGATTATCGCCGTGGTATGGGTCTTGTCCAATGACAACGACACTGATTTCCTCGAATGGCAAAACATTGAATGTTGTGAAGATCTGGGATTGAGGTGGAAACACTTGCTTTCCCTTTTTCACTTCTTCGTTCAAGAACTTTTCGATTTCGGAGATATATCCTTTTTTGAACTCTTCCTCCAGAAGCTGTGACCACGACTCACTTTGGAGCAATTCTTTTAGATTAATTTCTGTTTTGATGGTTCTTCCCTCTTCTCTTCTTTTCTCTTTTTCCTCTTCATTCAATTCAGGTTTTGGTTGATTTTCCGTTGCACTGGAATCGGCTTCTTTCTCACCATCAACACCAAGAGTAAGACCCAGTTCAAGGCATTGCTTCTGCAATTCTTCATCTAGCTCCTTTGCTTTTTTGGCGCGAACCTCCATCATGGCACTCTTCTGAAAATTTTAACTATTAAAAAAACCCGAAAAGTTACACAAACCGTCTTCTTTGTCAATTGAAGTCGTTCCACTAATTTCTCGTTCAATTCTGATGCCGCCACTGCTTCCTCTGACACTTTTTTCAGCTCTAAAAGGGCTTCTTGTAGTTCACGAAAAACGAATTTCAACTCGCACTTAAACTAATAAAAGAACCATTTGCTGATTTTATCAGTATAAAGGGAATGAGAGCATTTGAAGGTGGTGTATTGAAGTTTTTATTACTTTGTTTCTTACAGCAAAGTATGGAGTTTTTATTGAATTTATTTATATTTTTATGGGAACCTACATACTTTTTGTACAAAACGAAGCAATAAAAAATTCATACCACTTTTACAGAAGAGAAATAAAGAAAGCAGAAAATCATAATTTCGAATGATAACAAAAATCGGTGGAGCTAAAAATGATTTTTCGAAGAAGTTTCTTTTATTGTGGATGAAGATTTCTTTTCAATTTTCCTCAGTTTTATCGGTTAACGTTATGGAAAGATTAGAAATGAACAACTGAATAGAAACACATATCAAAATTAAACAGAATTCTTTTTTTTTTTACTTTTTGAAAATAGAGGAAGAAAAGAAAAAAAAAAGATTAAAATTAAACTTAATTTTTTAGGTTTTCACAGGATTTTTACAATTTAATTCGAGACAAAAATTGTTTGTTAAGCAACAATAAACGGAAGATAAATGATAATTATTAGGTTGGCGGGAAAGTCTTTGTCACTTTTTCAATAGTTTATTTCTCAAAGAAAAAATAACCGAATAATTAATTATATTGTCCATCATTATCAACAACATGTCTCCAACGTTCCCTCAATTTATGGATTCCATTGCGGTAGAATCCAGCCGGGCGTGAGGCAAAGTATTGTTTGAGTGCCGCTTCGACCGCTCCACGGGAATTGAAGCTTCTTCCTTCGAAGGCACGTGTCATATCGCCAAATAACCAATAGTCGGAAGGAGCAAGATCAGGAGAATACGGGGGGTGAGGGAGAACATTCCATCCATATCCCATCAGCTCCTGCTTCACTTGTTTCGAAACATGTGGGCGAGCGTTATCATGTTGATAGTACACTTTCTTGTCTTTCATGGCCGAACGGTCGACTGCTTTCTTGAGGTTTCGTAGTTGAGTAGTGTAGAGGTCTCCAGTTATTGTTTTGCCCTCGGGCAGAAGTTCCCAGTAGATGGGGCCGTCCACTCCCCACCACACAGAGAGCATAACTTTTTTCGGATGAAGGTCGGGTTTGGGGACATCCTGTGGGCTCTCTCCTTCTCCAACCCACTGGGATTTCCTGTGGTGATTATCGTAGAAGACCCACTTCTCATCTCCGGTTATTAGCCGGTCCAGCCATCGATCGCCCGCGTGGAGAGTGAGAAGAGTAATCGAATCGTCGACTCGGCGGTCAAGGTTGGCTTGAGTCAGGTGATGAGGTATGAATCGACCAAAAAGTTTTCTCATTCCAAGAGACTTCAAACCTTCAAGGACTGTGCTATGGTGAACTCCGAATGTGACAGCTAGTTCACGGCTAGATTGAAATGGATCCGATTGCAATGCGTGCTTCAGCTTGTCCAAATCCAACTCACGGGGTCTCCCAGAGCGATCCTTTTCATCGAGCGAGAAGTCATCTTTTTCGAAACGATGGAACCAATTGCGAATAGTATTGTAGTGAGGGGCATGTGTGTTGTACACATTCTTCAAGAAAGTTTCCGAATCCTTCATCGTGGTGTGAGATAGGAAGAGGTAAATCAAAACATGTCTGATGTGAATAGCAGTGGGAACAAACATATCGTTTCAATTACAGATGAGGAGCAGGGAAGGAGATGGGGACTTGTTTATATGGAAGGTTCTTATCACCTTGTTATTCACTAGAGTCGATATCATACACAGCCTCCATATACGAGAACAGTGATTAAACAAACAGAGTGACAAAGACTTTCCCGCCAACCTAATAAATTATACTTAAAACCTAATTAATCACTAATTGATTCATCGGTAATTCAAAAAATGGAGTGTCTTCTTTCGCAACTCGTGTGAGAGTAATCAATTTAGGTGTTCCTACTCCTTTTTTTCGCGTATCCAAAACAATGTGAATATAATAATTGGTGTTTTCAATTCGAAAGTACCAAATGCTTTTCACATTTGAAAAGTTACGGTAGGGTTCTCCAATCAGCGTATGTAAAGATTCGTCGATTGTCGACTCCTGGAACGATATTTTCAACTTTTGAAACTTCGAAGAATGGAGAAGATTCTGAAAAAGAAAAATAGAAATTTTGAATTGAAAAAGAACTTACTGTTTTCAGATAAAATACATCTTCAGAGGAAAGTGTCTTCACTAGGATATTCAAATAAACAAAATTCAAAATATTCATTTCTGTGATTGTCGTTGTAATAATCAAGTGCTTGGAAATCAAACGTTCCGCATTCTTCCACTGAACTATTTTTGATAATTGATCAATTTGAAACGGCCATTCAATAACATTGTAATAAAAATTCTTAATTGCATCGTGTTGTTCTGACGGATACAATAATTCAATCGTTTTCAGGGAATGTGGGTCAATAGCCGAAAGAATTTCAATAATTTCCATCTGACTGCTAGATCCCATTGAGAATTTTTTCGCTTTGAGTGGCGTCTCTCTTCGTTTAAAAGTGTCTCCAATTTTTCTGGATAAATCCGCAGTACCCCATTCATCGAGAAGAATATCGAAGTTTTCGGATAAATGTCTTGTACACTTGTAGAATATAATTAATTCCTTTATGCACTCAATTTGCTTGCTGAGAGTCTTTTCGATATCATTAAGACATATGGATTTGTCGTCAGTTCCAGAAAAGGAGATAATACGTTCTTCTCCATGGAATGAGTTTTCACCATACAAATACACTTGATTTCCATTCTTAAAATATTCGAAAGCTTTGAATTCCCCATTTTCCAACTTATTATAGATGCGAAGACGACAATTATCTATGATAGCTCTCTGATAGAAACAGATGGAATACGTTTCTATATGGGGATTTGGTTTTATGAGATCAACACACTTTCGGATTCCACGATTGACTTTTCGAAGACTCTCGCTGCAAAACAATCTATGAATTATTGTGAAAAACAAGAAAAAACTTACATGTCAAAGCATTGCAAGTGTCTCAAAATAAGTCCCATCGATAACCGATTTTCTAACACATATCGTGCTACGATCTCACTCGGATTTTTGCCTTTTTTGAGATTTATTGATTGGAATGTTGGATCAGCAACTTCCTGAAAGAAGATGGATTGGATTAGTTTCAGCATAGAAACTCACAAAAGTGATACTTTGACCGTCGTCCTCAATTTTCACTTCACTCAACCCATTCCAAGAACTATCGAAGTTTTCTGGATCCACAACATGGATCAACCGTACTGTAAACGGCGCGCTTTGATCAAAATACGTTACGAGCGATATTGCTTGAGCAACACTAGTTCCAATGAAGTGAACTCCTTTGACTCTTAATGTTCTCGATTTTAAAATCATTTCGAGCCGTTCACAAATCTTGGCGCAATCTTCGACAGTTCCTCGCGAGCACCTTACATGAAAATATGACAGATATGGTGTTTGGTGCTTCAACAGCATCTCCAAATCTTCTAAGAAAACATCTACAAAGTTGAGTTGGATTGGCAGTGATTCCTCGTTTTCGAATACAAAAGTTGTGAAAGCACTTTCAAGTTTAATATAAGTGATAGTGTGAAAATATACTTCAAGAGGGGAGTTCAGTTTCAAAATCACTTTTGATAAAATCGGCATGAGTTACAAACTCGATTCCCATTTTGCTACTTTTCTGTTGATCCGTTAAATATTCGTACGCGTAGGGCATCTGAAAACGTACAGTTGAAATGAAATATTTAGAAGGGAAAAAATTTACAACTCGCACTTAATCAAACAAAAGAATGAACTGCTGCTCCTTATCAGTCAAATAAAATATTGTGCATTTAATTAGAAGAGAAAATCAGAGAATACATAAATTCATCATTTCGAATGATAACAGAAATCGATGTAGCGGGAGATGCAAAAAAAGTTTTTGAACAATATGAAAATGGTAGAAGAACATTATTCAGATTCCATTTCTACATATTTTGTGGGTGGTTGTTGGTGAACTTTTTTTAGTCGTAGAAACGAACAAATCGCTGAAAACATCTACAATTTTATACAGAAAACAGATTAAATCATTATTAAAATATACTAGAATGTCTGTCGCCTTTTTGGCATTGCTCCTCTTTATTTTTCATATAATTTTCTTTTTGAAAAGGTCATGTTACTTTAAAGGTGGTGTGCGGTGAAAAATTTTTATTGATTTATTTTGTGCAGAATTCCATGTAGAGCCTTATAAA